AACTTTTTTGCCTTATCTACCAAAATTAGACTATTTTAAGCACTTTTTACCATTGGCACTTTTGGGGGAAACGCCTATTTCACCCTGAAAATCACGTTTGAAAATCAAGAAAAATGCTAGAAATCAATGATTTTTGGGGCTTGAAAATTTTCTTTTTAACTTAGGGTGGGTTTTTTTAATTATCAGTCCATTTTAAACACTTTTTTGGCAAATGCCGTTTTTACCCAGGAAACCAGGTTTGAAAAATCGTAAAAAAATAGTAAAGTACCAAAAATTACCCCATTTTTACCCCAAATTCCAGCCCAAGTATTTAACCTCATTGCTCTGTGGAATTTTAACGTTATTTAGGGTAACTGGAGGACACGTGTCTACTTGTTGTAAAGGTTGTATGGGCAGATTCACTCGGTAATACATGAGATAATTATGTAATACTCTAAGATACGAAAAAACTATAACTACATCCACGAATATTTAGAAGTACCTGGGGACCGAGCTTTGCTCGGAGAAAATCATTAGTTCACTCTGAAAGCAGGCTTAGTATCGGAGATACATAAATCTGTTCCCAAACTCCACACGGCTCGCCTTTACAACGTCCTACACCATTTCCTACGTCATGGACCTGTTTCCCTCCATTCCCATAGCACTTTAAGATTGTAGATACCTTAATCTAATCGTTATTAACAGTTCCCACACTCCGGACAGCTCGCCTTGACTACTTCCTTCACCACTTCCAACGTAGCGGACCTGTTTTTCTCCCTTCCCATAGCATTTCAGAATTGCAGATACGTTAATCTAATCGTCATAAACAGTTCCCACACTCCATACTAATCGCCTTTACTACTTCCTTTACCACTTCCTACGTCGCAAACATGTTTCCCTCCCTTCCCATTGCATTTAAAGATTGCAGATACATTAATCTAATCGTCATAAACAGTTCCCACACTAAGGACAGCTCGCCTTGACTACTTCCTTCACCACATCCTACGTCGCGGACCTGTTTCCCTCCCTTCCCATAGCATTTTAGGATAGCCCATACCCTTATCTAATCGTCATAAACAGTTCCCACACTCCGGACAGCTCGCCTTGACTACTTCCTTCACCACTTCCTACGTCACGGACCTGTTTCCCTCCCTTCCCATAGCATTTTAGGATTGCAGATACCCTAATCTTATCGTCATAAACAGTCCCCACACTCCGGACTGCTCGCATTTACTACTTCCTTCATCACTTCCTACGTCACGGACCTGTTTCCCTCTATTCCCATAGCATTTTATGATTGCCTTTACTACTTCCTTCACTACTTCCTACGTCACGGACCTGTTTCCTTCCCTTCCCATAGCATTTTAGGATTGCAGATACCTTAATGTATTCGTCATAAACAGATCCTAGACTTCGCACTGCTACCCTTGACTACAATGTCTCGAGTAATCTTAAGTATAATCAATCTTTGGTATAATCTTTGCTCAATATTAACAAGTGATGTTTTTCCTTTTGTACTGTATTTGTAATTTGCTAGTATACTGTGGGTAGTTGGTTTATTATGAACACGTGCTACAACTTCAAGTCTTTTGTTTACCATTTCCTTGTTATTTAATTCAACCAACATGGTTACTTAGCAACCCATAAGACTAATGTTAAAAAAATGTGACTTTCAGTTTCGTTTTTCTACGTAATTAGATTTTTGTTGGCAGTTCTAACTGCATGAAACTTGTTTTTAGGCCAAAAATAAACTATTTACAAGATTTGAAGAAAATCGTCGGAGCCGTTTTCGAGATCTTTCTGCAAGCAAGCAAGCAAGCATACATACAAGCAAACATTGCTCGTATTAGAGTATAGGATAGTACCTGGGGACCGAGCTTTGCTCGGGGAAAATAATTAGTCCACTCTGAAAAAGCAGTCTTAGTACTGTATTGGAGACACATAGATCCATTCCCAAACTCCACACGGCTCGCCTTTACTACGTCCTACACCAATTCCTACGTCATGGACCTGTTTCCCTCCATTTCCATAGCACTTAGGATTGTAGATACCTTAATCTAATCGTTATTAACAGTTCCCACACTCCGGACAGCTCGTCTTTACTACGTCCTACACCATTTCCTACGTCATTGACCTTTTTCCCTCCCTTCCCATAGCATTTCAGAATTGCAGATACCTTAATCTAATCGTCATAAACAGTTTCCACACTACGGACAGCTCGCCTTGACTACTTCCTTCGCCACTTCCTACGTCGCGGACCTGTTTTCCTCCCTTCCCATAGCATTTTAGGATTATAGATACCTTAATCTAATCGTCATAAACAGTTCCCACACTCCGGACAGCTCGCCTTTGACTACATCCTTCACCACTTCCTACGTCGCGGACCTGTTTTCCTCCCTTCCCATAGCATTTTAGGATTGTAGAAACCTTAATCTAATCGTCATAAACAGTTCCCACACTCCGGACTACTCGCCTTGACTACTTCCTTCACCACTTCCTACGTCGCGGACCTGTTTTCCTCCCTTTCCATAGCATTTTTGGATTGCAAATACTTTAATCTAATCATCATAAACAGTTCCAAAATTCCGGCTACTCGCCTTGACTACTTCCTTCACCACTTCCTACGTCGCCGACCTGTTTTCCTCCCTTTCCATAGCATTTTTGGATTGCAAATACCTTAATCCAATCATCATAAACAGTTCCCACGCTCCAGACAGCTCACCTTGACTACTTCCTTCACCACTTCCTTCGTCACGGACCTGTTTCCCTCCCTTCCCATAGCATTTTAGGATTGCCCATACCCTTATCTAATCGTCATAAACAGTTCCCACGCTCCGGACTACTCGCCTTGACTACTTCCTTCACCACTTCCTACGTTGCGGACCTGTTTTCCTCCCTTCCCATAGCATTTTAGGATTGTAGAAACCTTAATCTAATAGTCATAAACAGTTCCCACACTCCGGACAGCTCGCCTTGACTACTTCCTTCACCACTTCCTACGTCACGGACCTGTTTCCCTCCCTTCCCATAGCATTTTAGGATTGCCCATACCTTTATCTAATCGTCATAAACAGTTCCCACACTCTGGACAGCTCGCCTTGACTACTTCCTTAACACCTTCCTACGTCGTGGACCTGTTTTCCTTCCTTCCCATAGCATTTTAGGATTGCAGATACCTTAATCTAATCGTCATAAACAGTTCTCACACTCCGGACAGCTCGCCTTGACTACTTCCTTCACCACTTCCTGTTTCCCTCCCTTCCCATAGCATTTTAGGATTGCAGATACCCTGATCTTATCGTAATAAACAGTCCCCACACTCCGGACTGCTCGCCTTGACTACTTCCTTAACACCTTCCTTCGTCACGGACCTGTTTCCCTCCCTTCCCATAGCATTTTAGGATTGCCCATACCCTTATCTAATCGTCATGAACAGTTCCCACGCTCCGGACTACTCGCCTTGACTACTTCCTTCACCACTTCCTACGTCACGGACCTGATTCCCTCCCTTTCCATAGCATTTTAGGATTGCCCATACCCTTATCTAATCGTCATAAACAGATCCCAGACTTCTCACTGCTACCCTTGACTACAATGTATCGAGTAATCTTCAGTATGATCTTTGCTAAATGATGTTTTTTTTGTACTGTATTTGTAATTTGCTAGTATACTGTGGGTAGTTGGCTTATTATGAACACATGCTACAACTTCAAGTCTTTTGTTTACTTTTTCCTTGTTATTTAATTCAGCCAACAAGGTTACCTAGCAACCCATAAGACTAATGTTAAAAAAATGTCATTTTCAGTTTCATTTTTCTACGTAATTAGATTTTTGTTGGCAGTTCTAACTGCAGTAAACTCGTTTTTAGGCCAGAATTAAACTATTTACAACATTTGAAGAAAATCGTCGGAACCGTTTTCGAGATCTTTGTGCAAGCAAGCATACATACATACATACAAGCAAACATTGCTCGTATTAGAGTATAGGATATTAAAAGTCATGTTTTAATATTCGTGACAACATCCGAAGTTGTTATGCTTGTGAGGAGGGATTCTTTTCGGTGCTGTGTGGTCACTGGTCGGTTCAGTAAAATATGTACGTGATAGATTATCACAATCTTGTATACAAACAGACACTATTCGATTGTAGGCAGGGTGATTCTTATTTCTTATGGAATGACTGGTTATACGGTCTGGGTCTAGTGAGGAGTGACTACTCAGCGTCAGCGAGTTTTAACAATTATTTGTTTATAAGCCAATCATCGGTCTCAGGTAAGAGACGGGTCTGACTTAGGGGAGGTACGATTGAGGAATTAGTTCAAAATTCCTCCGTGAACAGCGCTGTAGTAGAGAGCACTTTGGCAATGAAGGATTACTAATCGCAAAAATAGTTCTGTTCATAAAATAAAATTATAAATGCCTCAAATTCAATTTTATTATTTTTTAATTAAAAAATTAAACTATCATAACCTAACCGAACTAACCAAACTTGCTGATAATGAAATAATATAACAAAAGTTTAGTAATAGACAAAATAATTCTGTTTATTAAATAAAACTAGAAATTGCTAAATCAAAATTTTATAATGACTTAATAATAAAATTAAACTGTCATAATCGAACCAAACCAACCAAACTTGCTAATAATAAAAAAATCTTGGACAAAAAGTTAAAGCTTCCTGCGGGATTCGAACCCGGGACCTTCAGCATATCAACCCGGCACGCTAACCACTAGCCCACCGAGGCCGATGGATCCTGATCGTTTTGCTACGGTAATGGCGTTCCCTCAGCTAATAAGAAGCCCACAGCTGTCATCGTAGCCTCTTCTATACCTCCCCTGCTGAGTAAATACCGGTAAGGCCAGGCGCACACAGGCGATTTTGAGTTGCGCAACAGTTGCCCGACTAATCGGGGGACTGTTGCGCGACTCAAAATCGCCTGTGTGCGCCTGGCCTAAGAGACACGACTCTCCGACTCTTTTCTCACTGCCTGTCCCCACGGTCCCCACCTGTCACCTGTCACCAACTGTCAGCCACCACTAAACTAACCTAACCTTTCTTCAAGTTTCAAGTTTCAAAAGTTTCAAAACGAAAACGCCGAAAACTGATTATCGATATATTGTACATATTTACACAGAAGAGTTTTGTCGAAATAGATCAAAAGTTCCAATCCTATTTTAAATTTTACACTCCGTTTAAAATTTCAATGGAAAATGTTTGAATGGGTGGAACAAGACTTGCGTCATATAAGAGACGGTGAGCCTAAACGTCCTGAAAGTTTAATTGAGGTTAGTAATTTTTAATAACTTTTATTATGACAATCCTATCCATTATTTATTTATCCATTTCTTGATAACTAAAATCTCTCGTAAACATAAGTGTATGTAACTTATTTCATTATTATACAAGCTATCCAAAAAGTTGCAACAATGCCCGCTAAGTTGTCCAACTTGCTGCGCTCATGATGTGTTTTGACTTGTTAAAGAAGGCTAATTATTTACTATGGATTCCTCCAAACGAATTTTTAATTTTGATATCTTACTTTATAGTTTGCTACCTCCTGAATCCAATTATACCATTATTTTTCACAGCTAAAGAATATTTATTTTATTTCCATTCCAATGGCCAAAGACCATTACAAAAATGATTGTTAACGATTGTTATAATCTTAAATTAATTAATAAATATACAGTTTTATATTACTGAAGATGGTATTTGTTTACTTTAGGGACTTCTAACGAATTTTGAAACAAATGTTTTTTTCTCATTATTTGGCCTATTTTGAACACTTTTTACATTTGACACTTTTGGGGCAAACACTATTTCACCCTGAAAATCGCGTTTGAAAATCGCGAACATTTTTCTGCAATTGCCATTTTTACTTAGAAAATCAGGTTTTTCCCCCCTTGCCTTTCTTTAAATGTGTTTTTATTATTGTAGTAATAAGCAGATGTATATTTAAACTAACCTAAACTAACCTAACCTAACCTTGGTTTAACTAAAAATCCGCTATTTTTGGCATATTGCTAACCTAAGCATTGTTTAGGTAGGGTTGGGTTAGGTTAGGTAGGATTGGGTTAGGTTAGGTTAGGTTAGTTTAAATATAGTTAGGTTAGTATACGTAAGGTTAAGTTAGGTTAGGTTAGGTTTGGTTGGATTTAAAATATTAAGGTGATTTTAGGCTAATTGGTTTAAATAATAACTTAATAACTAGCCATACTTTACCTAACCTTAACTAACCTAACCTAACCTAACCTAACGTAACCTAACCTTTGTTTAACTAATAATCCGCTATTTTCGGCATATTGCTAACCTAAGCATTGGTTAGGTACGGTTGGGTTAGGTTAGGTTAAGTTAGGTTAGGTTAGGTTAGGTTGGGTTAGATTAGATAAAGTTAGATTGGATTATATTTAGTTCTGTAGGTCCTTAGTAATAGTAAAAACACATTAACAGTAAAAAAACTACGCAAATTTTTAGCACTTTTTGCAATTTTCAAACGCGATTTTCAGGGTGAAATAGGCGTTTGCCCCAAAAGTGCCAATTGTAAAAAGTGTTCAAAATAGGCCAAATAATGAGAAAAAAACATTTTTTTCAAAATTCGTTAGAAGCCCCTAAAGTAAACAAATACCCTGAAGGTATACTAAGTTATGTGAGATAAGTTAACTTAGGTACTGAAGATATCGCTGTTTTAAAATATGTCTAACTTTTGAATAGGTAAACAATTAGGCCTAACTTAGCAAGGATGACATCTACAAGAGAAATAAACTGAGGCTAATTGCATGTAACCTAAACTTAGTTCTTAATTAGGCATATCAGGTTGGTGGGTCGGGCTTCAAGCGAATTCGGGGCTGTTTTAAGAGTTTTTAAGTTAGATTAGATTAGAAAGGTAAAGTTTAGGTTATAATGAATCGAGATGTTGGTTTGCCAACCTTAAGACTGTGTTTGTATAAATAAAACCCTGAAAAAAACTTCAAAATACTATTCCAGTTTTTTGGCGTGTTTTAATGAAAACTGTCTTTGGTTAAGTACTGTAACATAAACGACTCAATTCATTATAACCTAAACCTATATTATTTTTTGTTACCGTACTGACAAAGTTGATGGGTCATAACAGTTGCTATAGCTCTTAATAAGTCATTCCATAAGTTCGACTCCGTAAAACGCATCTTGTATTCGAGAGAAATTAGGTAGGTAGTCATTTAGATCAGCGCAATCTGTTGGTGTCTCACATCAACTAAGACGAATTTAATTAAAACTGGCGACAACTTTAACATACAGATGGAATGTCTAGCTGTGGAATGTTTTAGGCCTACTTGCACTAAAGGTACAGGCTTCTCTATTTTCACCTCATGCTGTAAATAAAACATGTGATTGTAATTTCTTCCATTTGTTTTGATTTTCTGTTTATAAGTATTTCGTTGTTATTTTGTCCCTAGCATGGCAACCCATAAAGCCCATGTTATTTTTTTTTTATTTCAAATTCATTTTTTGTACTCATATTTGAGCCTAATTTAATTTTTAAAGGGATTCTGCACATCTACAGAAAAATATCTTTCTAACAGTATGCGTAGAGTTTCCCTTCGATGCACACAAGCTGAGAAAAAAGGTTTTAAAGAAACATGCTTGCCTATTAATGTATAGATAGATAAGCTAACCTGATAAGGAATAATTATATATTCCTTTGATATTGATATGTGCCACTGATTTCATAATACAAAATTTCTAAGTGCATTAAAGCATAGATTTTTGAACAAAAAAATGTAAATTGTTTCATAAATTCGTCATTTTGTTGAAACTATAAACACACTTACCAATTAGGCCTACCATGCAGTGGGGAATCTAAAATCACTAAATATTGCCAACATTTTGATTTTTTACAGATTCACTAAATGCTTAAAACACATGACCTTTTAAATACAATTTAAATATTAACATCTGTTTCATTAAAAGATAGTGTAAAATTATCCATCTGGTTATAATGTAAACAAATCTGTACCAGCAAAAAAGCTAAAGGTCTAAGTTGTAATAATTTTGTTATATGTCATTAAATTCATTTTTTGTTTCAGATGCCTAGTATGGTTCCTGAAGTCCCTGAAGTTTCTCTTTGTTTCACTGGTACACAAGAGAAAAATCAATCTGACCCATACCTACGTTCCAATGTTGAATATAGGACTACTGCAGTTCCTTCAGACCATCGTCATCAAAGACCCCCCCAAAATGAAATGCTCCTAAGAAATAAAAATGAATCTTATAACACTTGGAAAGCAAAAAATGCTCAGACTTTACATGACATCACTGGTGGCCTGGATCGACCCAATGATTCCAAATCTTCCGTAACAAAGAAGTCTGCAGGCTTAGTGAGAAAGCAAAACAGCGGAAATGGTATGTATTCTCCATCGACAACTTCTGCAAAAGGTTATTCTGATCAGGCCAGTAATAATGGTTCCAGTACTGAATATAGGCCTGGAGTTAATGATCATCTGCGAATGACAGCATTAAAACAGTTTGGAAATGAGCGTTCAGCAGAACATCACCTCGCAGATTACACGTCACATACGCTTCCTTTCCATCAGCACCAAGCTCAGCAGTCTATTGATAATGTCAGAAACCCATCAAGTCCATCTTCTATTTTGCGAAACCAGCATAGTTGTAAAGACAGAATTGTTGGCAACATACCTTATCCTTATCAAACTAGAGAAAATTGTAATCCTGGTTTTTGTGCTCCTAATTATTGTAACCCGCTTCAATGTTCCTGTGTAAAGTGTAATGGACCCCAAGTGAATCCTATGAATCACTGTGCAAGTGATCAGGTTCAGGAGACAAGAACTAATATGCAGTTTGTTGATCCTACAAAGGTGTTTCCTTTAGATCCAGGGCTAATCAACAATCATTTGAGTAGTTTGTTCCATTTAATAAACATTCAAAACGAACAAATCTCTATGTTGTGTCAAGAAATGAGCAGTCAGAAGTCGGCTACATCTGCCTTACATGATGATGTTAAGAAAATATTCACCACTGTGTCTACAAATAAACAAAGTAACTGTGAAAAATCTCCAACCAGGGAGAAGTCCTGCCGATGCTGTAACTGTGAGGATCAGGTTGTCACAAATAAAATGTCTGATGAGAAAGAAAGCGGTCAACTGAAGTGTAATGTTCAATCAAATAACGAACAACCACCTGCGACCTCTGATAAAATAGAAAAACGATCAGTAGGTGTTATGACAAGTTCTATAGACAATGTTAATAAAGATGTTTCATGTGAGAGAAACAAACCTCAAGGAGTTAAAGAAAAATTTCCCAAAGAAAAAGCACCCAAAGGAAAGGAGAACGTACAGAAAGCAAGCAAACAACAAAAACCCAGAGTGGTCAATTCTTCATCCAACAAGCAAACTAATCAAAAGGAAGAAAAGAGGAAATCTCACGAGTCTGTAAAGAAACGGTAAATATTGATCAGTTCAGTCAGTGATTTATTTAGGCTACCTTCTTTTTTATTATGATCAGACATGTTTTGGTGTTGGCCTATTGCTAGCCTAGTGTTACTGCCTTAGGCCTATCACTTTATCTTGTATCCAAATACTTAAGGGGGTCGGTTACAAAACTGTTTTTTAATTCTGTGCCAAACTTATTCAAATTAAATAGTGCTGTTACATTTTTGGTATAAGATAGTTTAAAGATGATTTGATATGAAACCTATTATGCTAAATAACTTCTTGATCAGCGTTGTACGTGTTATTAAATTTACGGAAAGTAAATTAAAGATACGTCTTATAACACTTAAAACATACATTTACCTACGCTTATACTGTTACTCACAAGACGGTAAAAATACAAAAGCTCCGGAAATCCGCTTTGACCACTTACCATCTTTTTTGTATATTTACCGTCTTGTGAGTAACAGTATAAGCGTAAATATATGTTTTAAGTGTTATAAGACGTATCTTTCATTTACTTTCCGTACCTATTATGCCTACCAGATTTTTAGGTAATTTATTGGTTCTATACAGTGTAGCTTATCTATTTTTACAGTGTGCTGCTTAAAACAGTGAGAGTAGTTTAGCTTACTAATAATAATTGTATTGGCTTTTCTCAAATTCAAAGCTCAATTCTCAAAGTCTTAAGTCACTCTCTTGGTGAATTATCATCAAACTCAGGGTATGTCGGGTTGGTAAAAAATTGGCTCGAAACAGTGATGAGTTTCTTTATATTGACAATTTTCTTTACATTTAGTTTTAGTTATTTATGAAATGTGATCGAACCCAACATTACAGTTGACATTTACGTAGTTACGTCCAAGCTGCTGACTCGCTCTTTGTCCTAAATTACATAACTAACTCCAAGTACGTTACATTGCCAATATCAAGTAAACAATTAAGCTCCTCTTATTAAAAAGCTGTTGATGTTATATTAATTTCCCTCCACTTTAATAAATCGTTATCAAGATTGTCAGTATAGTACGATGAATAGTCTAATAGGCATTATCACATGGTAGACTTTTAGCTACCATTGCTTATAGGTAAAATCCTCAAAAAATAAAAAAAAAATCCTCCTAAAGGTGAAAGTGTTACACTGTCGCTGAAAGACAAGGAGGGCTGTAGAAAGCCCAGCCTGCCCAACTGGTTTTTAAAAACATTTTTTAAATTTATTATCACAGCAAAGTTAGGGCCACGTGGCCCTACACTCTAAGTTTCTGCAGAAAATGCTATATAACAAGTTAGTAAAATTGTTTTTTTTTCAGAAAATATTTGTATAGAAAGTCGTCAACTTTATTTTCTGCAGAAAAATGTTCCGTTCTTCTAACAGTAACGCTACAAAAAGTCATGCATTACACAAACAAAATACATTGACGTCGTAGGACGTCAATATTCGGTGCACCGATTGTGAGAAAGAATGCTTAGAATAACCTTATTACCAAAGCGATTCAATGTAACAGTAGACGTTTTTGAAACGATTTGAGCGTTTTAAAACTTATTTATTTCCAAATATTCATTTAAACTATCACACAAGCGGTTCATTTACACACAACCTGAACCACGTAAGCCCGGAGAAAACTTTTGGATTTTTTAAAGTCTGTTGCGCAAAGTTTGAAAATGTTCTGCTTTAGGGGGGGGGGGGGGGGATTTAAATATATCCTGGAAAAGTAGGTAGTACTTCTTACAAACAAAATACACCAATTACTGTAAACTTTAAATTATTGTAATTACTTTATTTAGAAACAGCAAAAAGGATGAATCTAACGATAGCTGCCAGAGTGAAGATTCATTTTCATTGGATGAAGCAGCCATTGGAATGAGGACGGAGACTGAACCAGGTGATGTTTCTCCTGATGTTTCCATCCACGTTAACATGCCAGATTATTCTGCTTCCTCGGCCGAAAGGTAACATACTGCACTGTAATGAGTTGTTGACTGTAGCTTAAAAATCGCTAGGCCTACTGCTGACTTAAGACAATGGCTTACGATTTTGAATAGGTTTAAAATTCAAACTATTACATTAGACAAATTAGCTGCATTGCTGATTTCTATGCTCACTCCAAATCTAAAGAGTTGATACTGGTAGCACAAACCACAATACAGTAGAACCCCTCTTTGGGATATACAACCTTGTGTCCGACCTTCTACGTTTTACCTGATAGACGATAGCGCCAAGCGTGTTTTGTTAACCGAAAGGCAAAAAACGAAAAATGGGTGTTGCCGTAATCGTAGTAGACGAATACCGGTTTTGTAGAAACTGCAGGACATTCAAACTAGTTTTGCTGTGATCAGGAGATGATTGCCGATGTCGCCGATAGCACGAGATATGGTCACAGGTGCTGGCGTGATCACAGCAGATGAATACCGGTGTCACCGAGACGTTTGACATTTGACAGCTAGGTTCAAATTTAGCCTAAAATTGCATAGCCTATTATCTTTGACTATTGATAATACAGTATCTACTGAATGGCTTATTACTGAATATATTACTATACTCTGTTCCCCAAATTTAGGCAGTTTTTGGGGAAGAAATCTATCCCCTCCAATTGGCCCAACCTTTAAAACAATAGCTCAACAGTGAATTTTTAACAAACATTTATTCAACCCATCAATCAGCTGTGCAACATACATTGAAAAAAATGGGGTAGGGAAAATTTCCCTCAAACCACCTAAACTTTGTAAACGGAGGGAGTATAGCTATGTTCTATTTGTCAATGGGCATAGAAAGATTATGCATTGAATAAAATCACTATATGCTCTTATATTGGCACAATTTAGTATAGTAATTTTATAACTTGGAAAATGCAACAAAAATCCATTGAAAATATTGTTTTTTCCACCAGTGAGACTTCAGATAGTTTTGACAGTGAAGAAGAAGGACAAATTTCAGACGGAGAGTCTTCAGACCCTCAGATTGGATGGACATTTTACGACAGAGTTGTTGTAAGTGAATGTTTTATCTCTAAATTAATCAGTGCTTGTATTGTGTTTACAGAGTTCCTATATTTGATATAGGCCTATGTCTTGTGTACTGAGAGGTTTTCTGAAACAAATTATAAAGATGTTTAACAAGTTTTGAAAGAATAAGAATATGTATATTTATTGAAATAGTAATGTCAGATTGCTTCAAAAATGAATCAGCACAATTAGGTAAAGGTAGGGTACCTTTTCAGTTTGATCATAAATTAACTAAACCTATATTTAATCAAAGTTGAAAAATGAGCAAGCTCCCGCTCTCACTCCCTTCGGTCCTCTGTGTCACTCATCCTTTTTATGTTTTGTGGGGATTGTGACCAGGAAAATGGTGTGTATCAGTTCGCAAGTTGTGTATTCGTTTCAGTCTATTCTATGGAATAGACACTACTGTCCTTTGGAATAGGCCTAGTCACTTCTATTCTTTCAACATCATGATGAACTATACTGCTCAATTCTATGTTCACTAATGCTGTAGCCTACAGGGCTTATAAGAGATAGCCGTGCTATCAACCTTATTTAAAACATCATGTTTATTGTCATGCGGGTTGCACCAACTGAAAACTGCAATGCAATCCAATATACCAACACTCGTACAGAAGTTAAAGGACATTTGAGTTATTTCTGTGGCTTTTTGCTCATCTAAGATTGATGGTGTATTTTGACTGAATGGCTTAAAATTTTGACTTTGGTATAGTCAAAGTTATTGTAAAAAAAAGTAAAGAAGGGGTAAAAATTAAAGCAGCATTTCAATTGTCCTGATGTTTAGTGCGGCTAATTGCAAAAACTTCTAATTTAAATTCTTGGCTTTGACTGGTTGTTCTCCACAGTGAATGAAGAACGGAGGAAACTCTTTTTTCTTTTACATTACAAGATTTTTCTAAAATTTCAATTTTGGACATCATGACAATTTTTTTATTCTCTTGCTTTTTTTTTTAATTTTAGATATGTTGTTACCTTTTTCATTAGGCCCAGTTGGTTTTGGCCATTATGATATTGATAATAAAAGACAGTACGGAACATTATAAATTAATATTCGATCCAATCTATTATGATATTTTAGGGGCAAGTAAACAACATGTTAAAGAAATCATCAGGGGATCCTAGACAAGAATACACTCGTTCTCAAAGAAAGAATGAAGGAAATGTCCTTTACCAATGCAATGGAGATTACGAAACTGAGAATAATTGGTCTAAAAGGTAAGTGGTTAATGAGTACAATATAATCAATATAATATTAATTTCCGCAACGATTGCGTAAAGATAGTACTAACAACACGAGTAGAAATTTAAGGTACAGGCCTTGGCAAGTGCCTTAAAAACTTCTACGACAGTCATTAAGACTATTTACGCTAGTTACTTTCACTACTTTACCTACGAATGTTTTTTAATTACTAACAATCACTACTCATAACTTGTAAGTGAGGTTATGTTTTTATTTATAACCTCTCATTGCCACTGACAGTGATGCAATGAATCATTTGTATACCAAACACTAATTGCACCACTCATTAACAATTAACAATTAAATTGGTACTCAACAGCTGATTAGTTGAAGTTCAAAGTATTACAATTTTACTTCTGGTCCATTACTCGTTTTGTTAGAACAATGTAAGTAAACAATACTGTTAGTTTAAATGAATCTTTTCAATTCTAAGAACTGAACTGAAACGGCTAGTTTAAAAAACAGTCTTAGGAAAAACAACAACTTTAATTTTTAAATTTCTTTTTAAAAATTACATTTGGCACAAATGTAATGCCAAAAGTGGGTTATTTTCTATAGAATTTCCTATTGAACCACATCCTTAATTTGTTTATGCTGATATTTTTTATTTTATTTACCCGCTGCTCAGATATCTATATATTAATAGGCAAGCATGTTTCTTTAAAACCTTTTTTCTCAGCTCGTGTTCATCGTAGGGAAAATCTACGCATACCGTTAGAAAACTATTTTCCTGTAGGTGTGCAGAATCCCTTTATAAATTTAAATAGGCTCAAAGATAAGCACAAAAAATGAGTTTAAAAATTTGAAAATATTAACATGGATCTTATGCGTTGCCATGCTGGTAACGAAAATAACAACGAAATATAAACAGAAAACCAAAACAAATGGAAGAAACTCAAATCACATGTTTTATTTACAGTGTGGGGTGAAAATAGATAAGTGAGTACATTACGTATTTTTGGTCGAGTTTCGACCACTGGACGACCTCTCGTATTTTTTAAATTAACAATCAAATTAAAGATAAAATGCCTTAAGAACCTGGAGCGTGAGCTAAAGAAATCAACGTAAATTAAATAAAATTAATGACAATTATTAGAGTCAATTATAGTGACAATTATTTCTTTTGGGATTTTTAAAATTTTTGTTTTAGAGGTTGAAAAATATGACAGTTTAAGTCAATATATTTATGTAGTTTGACAAAATAATTACAATTAAAATTAAAAAGTAGATATCAAATCATATCTGCGGTTTCAATAGAAAAAATGGGATATTGTATTTTGCAACTTTTTATCTTAATAAAAGATGCTGTAATATGCTTCAACCCTTAACATTGCCGTTATGGACAGAAAATCCAAGAGGGTCGGCGGTCCTGCAGACTCTTAAATTATTGACCTACTATGAGAGGTAAGACCAAAGTTTTATACTCCATAACAAATTTGTAATGTTCAAGGGTGACTTTTGACGGCCCACCGTTAGAAGACAGTGACAACAATGGCTTACACATGCCTCGATACCATCAGTTCAGGACCAATCAAGACTACAGAGTGCCTGGTAAGTATTTAGTTTGACTTGGAGCACAACTGAATGTTGATTCTGTATCAACTGCTAAACACGAGGCTTTGTGTCTATTCCTGTATTTAGGGATGACTGAGATTTCCTTGATCTTAATACTTAATATTAGTAGTGCACCTTTTGTACCTTTCAAGGGAATAGTGATTAACTTCTGATCCCTTATAAAAAAGAATCATATTTAACCGTCATACGCAAGCATTTACACAAGGCATCTTCAAATTAATTTTAAAATGCAGTTTGACAATTGTTTTCCAGACTATGAAGTTATGTTTAATATTTTCAGTAGTAAGTCATAGAACTTTCTAAGACCATGTTTTAATGCATATTTATAATGTCTGTGGTAGTTGCTGGCGGCCAAGACCTGTTGGTGTGTGACTACGCCAACGGAGGCAACAACCTGTCCCTAGTCAATGGCAGCACCAACCTGTCATTCGCTACGTACAGATACTACCAGCGACACCAGCTGCTGCCCCCACCACCTACCACTGGTGAGTTTGTTCTAGTGCATCCTGTAATCATATTGTGTAACTCAGGAGTAGTAACTGCTGAGTAAATAGTTAACCCTTATAGACAATAGACAATAGACAAAGCTTTATTGTACATAACGCCTGATACAATAATTACAAAAGTAATTCCCAAGCTGGTACATGGTCAATTTATATCTAATTTATATCTAGGTTCCTTAATCTAATTATACCCTGACAAGAGTAAAAACTATTACAATTTATCTTTAAAAAACGTCTGAATTTTGTAATACGCTTTTTGGCTTAAAGTCTCTTTCAGTTTATATGTAAAATTTGATTTTGATAAAGTTCTGTATGAATTTGGTAAATGATTGTAGATTTTTAATCCCATGTAAAGAGGCCCAGTTTCAAATTTTGTGTGCGAATGTTTGGGATATTGAAAAGTTTTGTTATTATTTCTCACTTGATAGTTATGATTTATCTTATATTTTTCAAAAAAGAAAGGATTTGCATGAACATACTTTGCTATTTCAAATATATAAAGAGAAGGTAATGTTAAAATGGAATGTTTTTTGAAAAAAGGTTTACAGCTTTTTTTAGACTTCTGGTGAAAAATAGTTCTGAGAATTGACTTTTGGCAAGTGAACACTTTCTTGGCCTCTGCAGAGTTACCCCATAAGCCAGCAAAGAATGAACATACGCATGATATACTGTCAAGCAGACTTCTAGCGGCGTGACCTTGGATAGTACACTTAGTGAAAACCTTGTTGACCTTAATTTTTTATTTAGATGATGAATGTGATCAGACCAACTTAATTTTGAGTCTAAATTTAGACCTAAAAACTTAACAATTTTTGTATTACTGATTGTGGTGTCTGTAACTCTGTTTCTGAGTTTAAATTGAAGAATGTTAGTTTTACATTCATTTAATTTCAGGCCACGGCTCTCAAACCATTCATTGATTTGTTTAATTGTGCTGTCAAAGGTTAATTTAAGTTCACTTAATGTTTTTCTTTTTAAAAGAGCAGTTGTGTCATCGGCATACAAAGTGAAAGCACAGGAATTTGTGGAAAGGTAATTAGGCAAGTCATTAATAAATATAATAAATAATAAAGGCCCAAGTATGGAACCTTGGGGAACACCATATGTAACGCTGGCCCAGTTAGAATAATATTTTATTGATTTTTTTATTACTATTGTGCGCTGCTTTCGATTGAATAGGTCTCGTAATAATTCTAGTGCCATTCCCTCCAAGCCAATATTCTTCAATTTGATCAGCAGCAACCTGTGGTCCACACAGTCAAAAGCCCTGGATAAGTCACAGAAAACTCCTGCAGTCAACTGTGACTGATCCAGAGCTTCAAGGACACTACTAATATAAGTAAAAAGAGCATTATGTGTGCTTAGATTTCTTCTAAAACCAAACTGCTCTTGACACAGTTTTGAGTTACATTCCAGGTAATTTGCAATTCTAAGATGAATAATTTTTTCAAAAATTTTAGATACATTACTGAGTAAAGAAATTGGTCTGTATTTTTGACTATTATTATGTGTGCCTTTTTTTTTATTGGTCTGATTTCAGACAATTTTAGCAAGTCTGGAAATTCACCCTCACTAAATGATTGATTGATGAGTCTAGCTATAATATCAGAAATAATGTCAGCAGTCAATTTCAATAATTTAGTGGGAATCTCATCCCAACCACAAGAATTACTATTACTTAAACTTAAGATAGCATTTTTAACTTCAAATTTGTTGGTAAAAGCCAAAAACTGTAATTTATTTGTATTGTCTGATTCTAAAGAGTTTTGACTGATGTACTTGTTATTGATGAAAGAGACATTTGGCACATTTAATATTTCCTCTATGTTGGAAAATTGAACATTAAGATATTCTGCAATTTCTTTGGGTTCATTTATCACCCTATCCCCAACATCAATTTTAGTACTAGTCTCCGTTTTTACTTGAATGCCCAGTTCTTTTTTAACAACTCCCCACATAGCTTAACTCTTGTTACAAGATTTAATAATAAAATTACTATTATGCAATCTCTTAGCCTGCAAAACTACCTTTTTATAAACACAGAATAATCGGTAGTTCCAAGTTTTCTGGATGAATGAATGAATTTGTCATATTAACTTACTGCTTATTCCGGGGCCTTCATAATTGTAGTCAATAATTAACAAGTGATAAGATACAGTACGGGACCGAGGCCAGTCCGGATAACGGGTTTTCCGGTTAAACCGACGTCCCCAAAAACTCATTAAAACGGACTGTTTACTGTGATATTCGACTTAAATTTAGGAGAGCATTGTATTTAGACACGTGATCACTGGTCTCAAATCTTTCCCACAAGAACAGTCGTTTCAGTACTGCCCACTTCCTGCCGATCTAGTCCGGTTAAACCAATGTGCTGATAAAAATTGTCCGGTTAAACAGATGTCATTTCCGCCGAGTGTAGTCCGGTTAATCCGATGTCCGGTTAAAAGGTATCCAGATAAGAGAGAGTCTACTGTAGAACTAAACTTGACATGAATACTTAAAATTTCCAACTAATGTTTGTTAATAATAGCGAGATTATACAGGCTATTTAAAGTATACCATTAGCAATGTGGAAGTTGGGAGCGAGCAAGTCTAGTTGTTAGAGTGCAGGACTTCGGTCCTGGGTAAGTGATAATGCCGCACCCCTTAGCGTTTAGTCTGAAGTAAGCTAATATAGAAAACAATCCCAAGCCCGTGCCTAGCGTCCTAGGACAAAAAAGTAATATGGGAGTGCCCCTGAATGCCAGGTAAAATACATTGATATGTTCAGAGGCATTCCTATATATTGCTAAGAGTTTAGTGCGGATACTACTACATGAGCTTATTGCAAGGCATGCCAGTGTTAGAGGCCGACTGTTTGAATACAACCAGAAAAAGTCTGGAAAGTTCCCTTCTATTCAAAACGAAACTGAAGCGTGACTTAATAAATCAGGCATTCGATTCGGTGGATGAGTTCACTGCACACCGTTGGAGTTAAGGGCCACAGTATTATATTCCCCAGGGGTTATGAGTTAAATATTTTAAGGTTTTATGTATTGATTAATTTGTTTAAAGTTAAATTTAATATAAAGTGTAATTTTATAAAATAACCCCTATGTAATTATAAATAATAGAATCACACAATGTAAAAATGCTACACAATGTAAAAATTGTAAAGAGCAATAAATAAATAAATAGAATGACAGCCAAAAACTCCTTGGTAAGTTGTACAGGAAATTAGGTCTGGATTAATATGGCTAATAATAACATTATTAATGTGTGTTTCAAGTTTCAACCTTTGTCTTTTTTCAGACCCAATGTTCTTCAAACAACCAATGAAAAAGAAGAAAGAATCTAAGAAAAAGGAGAAGACGCCCCCGTCACAGAAGAGTCAAAAGATGAGAAATGGAAGACCACCCTCTAAGATTTTGGACGTGTCCGCATTGAAACACCAACCTAAGTTGTTCTAATCAGACCATACTCTTAGTTGAGGAGTAGCCTAAATCCCACAGTTGGCTTATACATAACAAGGTTATCAATAAAGGTATATATAGGAGTACAGCTAGCTAATTTGAGAAAATTATAAAGATTTGAAATTAGATGCTAAATAGTGCTTAGAGATCTTTAACATGTTCACTGCTAATTGCAGGTATATGATATTTTTTAATTCACAATTTATAGGATTCAATTTATTTAATTTATATTAGCAATCCATAGTGATATTATCATCGTAGAAGAAGTCTTCTACGATGATATTATCACTGTTATGTTGTGGGACTCTATAAGCAGCCTGGACTAGGCTTACTTATTTTCTCAGGTAAACGAGCTGAGATTAATCCCCTTACGAAAACCTTAACCATAGCTTATGCAACTGGTTATGAATTTATGTAAATGCCAGCTTTGCTTTAAATACCAAAAACTATTTATATGTAAAACCATTGAATATACACCTACTAGAGTAGACTAATGGAGGCTACGACTATGGTTACCTGAACACAGTAGCTTCAGCGGTCTGAACTACTCCCCCTCGTGTATGTCGGTAATGCAGTTTGGTTGATTTTTTTAAATATTACGTTCATTGTAGGCTGTAAAATGTCATTTTTCTAAATGAAATTTGTTGGTTTGATATTGTAACAAACGATATTGGTAATTTTGTTGTTTTATAATGCATTTTATTTTAAATACTAAATTATTAAAGGGTCCTCATAGGCGCACTGCACTACCGACCGACTACCGCGACCCAAACGTCAGCGGCCCAAACTACGTCACCAAATTCGGTAACAAATATTAGCTTTATCTGTCCCTTCTTATACATGTATACTCAATGGTAAAACTGTAAGATAAACTGTAATAGCCTATAACTGAAAATGTGCCTCTTAAAGTAAATGTTTTATAGTCACTGACACAATTGATTTTAATCTCATCAAAATGAGACATGGTTTCTTTGCTATTTGATCGGCTGTGATTCAGTATTCTATCATAGAACATGACTTTTTAGGTTTCACTCATATGACTGCAACTAATGTTTGCAAAATAAAACATTGATTTATTTATTTGTAAAGCTATATTTAGTTGCTTTAATACAGTACACATTGTGTTCTACTTCTATAAAATAATTCTAGGAGTACCTGTAAAAGTTTGTAATTTGCACATTTGTAAGTTTATATTTAAATAAATATTGTATTTTCAAGTTCATAAATTTTATTCCATGCTGCATCCAAACCTTAAAAATTACATGATATAATACTCGCTTACGATAGCTCCAAGACTCAGGATTTTCCAAATTTAAGATTTTTACCACCGACCGTTTTTTTAAGTAGCCGTTTCAGTTCAGTTCTTAGAATTTTCTCATAACAGCATTGTTTACTCACATAACAGCATAGTTTTACATAACAACACTGGTAATGGACCAATGGGGTTCCAAGTTTGAGAGAGAAGAAGTAAAATTGTAATGCTTCAAACTTCAACTAATCAGCTGTTTACCAATTTAATTGTTAACATTGGTGCAATTATAGTGATTGGTACAATGAGTCGTTGCATCACTGTCAGTGGCAATGAGATGTTAAAAACGAAAACATAACCTCTCTTAGAAGTTTTGAGTGTGGTAATTAGTAATTAAAAACCGGTCGTGGGTAAAGTAGTATACTCAATTCGCATAAATAGTGTTAACGACAGTCGAGAAGTTTTTTCCTAGCTATTCTATACATACACACCCAGGGCCGTATTTCCGTAATGCCCCCTCACATGATATTTTTGCTTGATAAATGAATTCACTAATAAGATGTTAGGGTGTTAGATTTTCCAAGATGTGAAAATTCTTCAATTTATTGTACTTTATTCTTCCGATAGCCGGAAATGTCTGAGAGTGCACAATATAAATGTTGATTTCACGGCAACTGCAAGGACCCTTACGATTTAATTGAAACCAATGTTAATGTTTTTGTTGCGATTGCAATAGCCATTCAAATAGATTTTTCCAAAGCAATTCTTGATTTTGGCCCTAGATGTGAAGGTCAAAACTTTTACCCAACCAGAAATAAAAAGTCTGTTTTCATTAATCAAATTATAAGTTTATTTGCCGATTGTATCATAGAAAACTAAGGATTGAGTTGAAGATCGTACCACATGTAATCCCTAAATCCCTAAATCCCCTAAGCTACAGCCAGCCGGAGAATCAGAATTGGGTGTGTTGCTAGCCTGGTGGTTTAGCGTCTTGGCCTTTGTTGCGGGAGGGACGTGTTCAATTCCCGGCCCATTTACAAAACTTAAATGGGTTTGGACTGCTTTCCCTTTAAAGTATTTAAGCTTACTTTAATAAAAATTCCACTGGCGTAGAGCACACAATAAAAAAATAGAGGGCCTTTCAGGAGGAAGCTGCTACTTTTGAAATTCACACCAGTATTGTATCTCTGTCTCACAAATTAACATTAAAAAACTCTTCACTTCAGTAGGTATTAAAAATCTAAAAAAAAAACACGTAAAATAATTATTTTTTGTAAAAAAATTATTTACTAAATGAGGTAGGTACTTAGAAATCTACAAAAACATGTCCCGTAACAATATCAAACTTAAAAATTAAAGATAAAACTGACAACTATGATTTATTTTATTAGTTATGACTATTGAACTATTAACTAACAGAGAAGGCATAGAATAAACAACATATTTTCAAATAAAATATCTTTTTTATTTACTTAACACATCTATATACAAAGAGAAAATAAATATAAACAAATTATTTACATTCCCAATGCAGCTATAATAGCCTATATCACAGAACAAAATTCTATTAATTACTAGATTTGTATACAGAATCTTTAAGTGGTGAAGTTATAAAGAGAAACTCTCACCGCAGCCGCACGTTCCCTTTATGTTGGGGTTGTTAAAGACAAACTCAGCTGACAGTTTGTCCTCCACATAATCCATCTCTGTGCCTAGAAGAGTCAGCTGTGCTTTCTTGTCAATGATTACACGAACACCTATAACATTGGCATTATCAACACATCAGAGAAATGATAAAGCTACAAAAAGTACAGGAAGGCCGTAAAACACACAAACACACATAGTATTTTGTCCATGGAGAACGATGTTGAACTCTGTGAACTCTCAGTGAACACTTTTTGTCTACACTTGACAAAGTCCCCCAGGGTAGGAAACATTGTGTGTGATCTATTGGCCTACCTTTACTTCTTGTAAGGTAAGCAAAGCAACAAGCTGGCTAGTTGTTGGTTACTAAAGGCCCGTTTAATCGCTCCAATTCATCTGTGCAAATCTTATTTGCACAAAACATCATATTTCGTAACCTTTAGATGGCAGATTGGTACAATCAATTGGATTGGAGCGACGTTGGAAGGTTGGAACGGGAAAAAACCATTTATACAATTTTGCTCAAACCTAACCTAAAACCAGTGTTCCGTTTATATTATACCACTTATCTATATATATAATTCTGTAAGACCAAATCTTTACCAGAAAATTTTGGACGTCTGGTAAGTCGCAGAAAAGTGGAAAATTAAAGGTCTTGACCCCAGGGACTCGGGAAAAATAGCAGAATTCCCATAAAGTTACCAGAAAACGGGATAAAACGTTATATATCCACCATAAGAAATGCATGGGGACTGAAAAGCGTCTGCATTCTATCAGCTGTTACTTATTTATTTGCAATGTTTACATTTATTCCGAAAGTCAATGTTGGTAAATAATGTTTCGAAATGAATTGTGTTTATTTTTTTTGTTTTCCGTTTTTATAATGAGTGAAGTAACTAGACAGGGTAGGGGAAGACCTGCAAGACGTGGAAGAGCATCCAGGAATTCAACAGACTTAAGAAATGCAAACGAGAACGTCATGTAGAACTAACTGTGAATAAAATCCAGAAGCTGTTTTACAACCTGTCTTTAGAAGAACGCTGGGAAATGAGTTGAGTGTTGTTTCTCACTATCTAAGTCCTCTTTAAAGCACTTGCATGCATTGTGGCACATTTCACTTCGCAGAGGAGGCCGCAAATGGACATTTCAACGCATGTTGCCACAATGGACATTCCACAACCACAAGTAAATGACGAACTAAAAGAACTGTTTTTACACGATTCGAACTTCATAAAAACATACAACAGTGCAATGGCTTTTGCGTCGCTTTCCGCTACACAAAAAGAGGTTCCGGGGTTCCGTTTCAAAATAATTAATAATAATTTTAACCTTTACATTTGGTTCTCAAAATGGAAACTATAACAGAATTTGTAAGATTACAAAACAAATATTCAATTTTAAACTAGAAAATATGTACAATGTTTGGCTGTATGATTTCAGCTCTGATTCGTCGTTCTCCGGGCTCAGGCCAAACCGTGTGGACGTTTCCATTTGTTAATGTGTTGTGTTATTGATTTAAAGATTATTTTCCAATTGTATTTTTCATTGACACATCAGAAGCAACTAATATACGACTCCAACGGAAGGAAAACCAAGATATAAAACAAGAAACACTGTTAATTTTAAGTAACATAAAACTGATAATTTTAAAAACATATTTCGAATATTTGTATTTTTATATATGGGTTTTTATTGTAGTTAGGGGCTATGGCCCCTACAGGCCACTAGTAATCTATATAACCTCTGTACGTTTATGTGCTAATAAACATGATTTGATTTGATTTTTATTTGACTTAGGCCCGGTTTCCCCAGCTCATTTACATACACATCTTACTATTGGTAAGATGTGGGACCCCTCTTTTACTCCATACATCTTGGGCCTTACCATGTCACTGATGGTAATAGCTTCTTCCCAGTAGGGGTAAATTTGCTAAAACTAGAATTATAATACCATTTTAGGTGTAAAAAAAAAACTTTTAAAAAGGGTCTATAGCTTGATTTAAATATTACAAAGGAACAGTCGAAAGACTTTGTAGAAAACAAACAATGTTCAGATAACCACCCTAGTTGTATCTTGTGAACATACTAGGCTACTTAAAATTGACTAATTAAAATCAAATTAGTGGCATTGTCAAATTTGTAGCTGTACTTACCATCTTGCATCACCTCTTCATCGAATTTCCCCTTTTCCTCAACGTAATCAAGAGTGTAGCTAAGTCCATTGCATCCCCTTTGTTGCACGCCCACTTTTAAGCCAATCTGGAAACAGTAAAACATGTACAATAAGTGGTGTAAAACGTAAAACATTCATCTCCTATCTATTGAAAAATAATCTAAAAAGAATGTGTACGTACACTTATCGATCTACCATGCTCTCTTGGTAGGGGAGATGACAACATAGACCACTTTACCGTTGATCAGCCCTAACTTCATTTTGTGTTGTTTATTTTAAATCTCGTTGACAAAAACTGTAAAAAGGTTAAAAAATTAGTACTGCCTTGTGATCCTTCTGCTCCAATAAGACTCTGCACCCGTAATGTGCGCACTCGTTAATAAGTGCTTACAACTTTTAGTACTTTCGTGTTAAAGGAAACATTTATTATTGATGATTTATTTTAGATATACCGGTAACATATGGATATTTTATTTTTTGATCCGATATATCGATATTAACGAATTGAAACATATCAGCTGACAACTTCGATATATAAATATCGTTCAGTATCAACAAATAATTTAAAAAATATTATATTTAAACGGAACTGTTCTAAACTAACTTTACCTAACTAACCAAACTTTCTGTCACATTTTCAAAATTCTGCTTGTTATTCCCCACATGCCTTTTCTGTTATCACACTGAATTTTGAAATGGTACATCAAGTCACAGAAAACATACTACTATAACCCAGAATGCCAACCGCATGGTAAAAAGCATTAAGCGTTTTGAGAGAGCTTTGCCTGTCAATTCGTAGGCAGCGCCACCAGCGTTGTGCTATGCTGAGTGCATGGCAACGCTGGTGGCGCTGCCTACGGATTGACAGGCAAAGCTCTCTCAAAACGCTTAATGCTTTTTACCATGCGGTTGGCATTCTGGGTTATAGTAGTATGTTTTCTGTGATCAAGTTTGGCTAGTTATGTTAGGTTGGTTTAGAACAGTTTAATTTCTAAATTTGTAATTTATATGCGTTTTATGATATTAAAACAGAAGTAATATGGATTGTAAAGAAAAAGAAAAATATTGATATATCGAAAAGAAATCATCGATAATTATGAATGTTCCCTTTAATAGGAGAGTAACCAACTTTTCATCAGTGTCTTAATGTTAATTATTATGTGACCATCCTAATGATAGTTTTCATCGTTCAAAATTTTAAGGGCAGCTTGAAGATGAAATGTCAACATCTAAATGTGTAGTCCATTCTTGGAGTAGGAGAACAAGGCCTTACAAGGTATTTTAACCTTTTGCAATCAGGTCTACCACACTAATAACGCTGGTAAACCAAAAGCTTTTCAACAGTTGACAGCTCTGAAATCTGCGACCTCCTAGTGTTAAATCTAGCCCAAAATCCTGTTTTGGCTACGAGTGTATCATTAATTTACCATTATAAATATATCTATAATTAATTCAATTATAAATCAATCACAAAAACATTACAGACTTTATTTGTCTCAAAAGTAAAACAATTTGCTATTGGTGTTTGGCCCCTGGTTTACACCAAAAGCTATTAACTTAACGAATAATTTTTGTGGTGGCAAATGGTATATAAAAAATGTCAATGGCAGTGAAACATGCAAAGAAAAAATAGGAAAATCTTAGTTTATAAGTGACAACAATTAAATATAGGAATTATTTGGCTACTCACAAACTGAGGTTTTCCTTGAAGAATCTCCTTTATCTTTGACACTGCAGCTGGCGTCTGAAACAGTGAACAGTGAAACTCAATTCATTTGGTTTTTAGTTGTTACACTATTTAAACTATTTAAACAGATTTCCTAAAAGGTAAGTTTTCATCAATGCAAACATTTTTCACCGAGTTTTTTATAGCAATGTTTAACTTAAGCCTCGGTCACACTCTGTTTAGCAGCCGCTACTAGCCACTGGTAACATTGCTAACAAACAGCCTAAAAATCAGCTTTGGTCTCATGAAAGAAAGAAAGTCGGCATGATTTGTCTAGAAATGAACTTTACAACAAAAGAAGTCAAAGAAGAGTGGTGTAGGGGCAGGTGACGTCTACAACCTAGCGGCTATTTACTGGCGGCTAGTGGTTATAATGTGAACCCTATAGATTCGCTGGCTGGCAATATTTACCAGCGGCTGGTTAGTAGCGGCTGCTCAACAGCCTCGTGTGACCGAGGCTTTACAGTACCTATCCAGCTAGATGTCCAGCTGAAGTCAATTATAATTTAAGTCCTGTAGTGCCTGTTAGAAATGAGTTCTTGAAATAACCATTAAGTAGGCCTATCATTTTAATGAGAGAATGACGCACAGTAGCCTAGAAAATGAAAATCACACAGAAGGCAGGGACAACTAGGTGGCCGACACCCATTAGAAAGATGGATGAACCGGCTGCATAATAAACAATATAGCAGTGTCAGTCTTCACCATTAAAAGGATGTTTTGATGTAGACATGGTTGTGTTAGGTCTTGCTCAAAGTGGTAGTGACCAGTAGGGTAGTGATGCTTGATTGCGAGATGTGTAAGCAATTGAAATGTTCCTTCTTGAGATTTTCCGCTTATCGATTGCTTCAATTACTTATCGAGAGGATTGTACAATCAAAATGTTTCTCTTAATTGTGGCATTCATTTAAGCCAAAGCATCTGTCTGCAACCTGTCCACATTTCATGAGTTGTTATGCGGAAGTTATTTCTTATTCTAGATTTCTTATGGAATAGTATTATGTACAACATATACTGCTGACATAATTGAATAAATACTTAAGTCACTCCGTAGCGGGGGAGCGAGCTGGCGTAGTGGTTAGAGCGCCCGAGGTCCCGGGTTCGATCCCTGCCAAGTCACCAATGGATTTTATCCAAGTGATAATGCCGCAATCCCTAGGTCTAGCCTGAAGTAATGTGAAAAACAATTCCAGGCTCGTGCCTAGGGTTCAAGGACAAAAAAAAAAAAATCACTCCGTAGTGTCAACAGCAATAGAAAATTATTTTTAAGTACCTACCTAATAAATGTTAACATAACACTACGAGAACTTTCAGTCTTGCTATAAACATTTTGATTCACGTAGCCCACAAACATTTAGGTAGGCTAGTTTATAAAATATATTGTGAATAGTTTTTATTGCTTAAGCCAAATTTATTGTGGTATGTCACTATTCCGTGGATAAAGAAAGTAATATCCATAAACTTTCCTCGTGTTTTAAGTAAGAAAGATCCCTCATTGGGGTACAATCCCCGGCAGATACAATAGAAATTAGATGCTTATTGCCAATGCCGTACTAAACAAAACAATTGCCGTGAACATCTTGTTAAAAGTGTCTCGGTAAGGACTTTTCGGATCTCTTTTAGAAGAATACGAGAGAAATTAGACCTATATGCTCATGCTGTGCTGAACCGAAACAATCACCACATTTCGTTAGGTTAAAAAAATTAAAACCTCTCGGTAAGAACCTCTCCCTAAGCAAAAATACAATTGAAATGCCTCGAGCGGTATAAACAATCAAAATGTTCTAAATTAACAAAAACCTAACCAAACTTACTGTATGATTTCATGAATCGGTTTCATAAGAGAAAAGGCATAACTTATGGGGAGGCCAGGCTGGGTTTATGTGGATTCGTGACTAAATTAAGTCCTTTGAAGGTAGGTTAGGTTAAGTAGGTATAAGGTTAAGTGTAGGTTATAGGCGATCGGGTTGTTTATTGATGTTAAAGATCCATATTGTTTTTTGCTTACTAGTCTCTAGGCATATTAGGAAAGTTAGCAGAAAGTTTAGGTACAGTCCTAATCATCACTTTTCTTTATGTTTTTTGGGTCGCTGAACACGAATATGAGGTTTGCTGACAGATATTTTGCCCGGAACATTGGTTATTTTGTGAAAAACCTTAAAATTTGGGCACATTTTTTGGTTTTTAGGGCAAATCTCGGTAAGTATGGGTTTTTGAGAAAATCCTGCTTTGTAAAATTAAAGATGACAAAATTTACTACAAGTTTCCTACATAATGTTTGTTTCTACGACGAACCGTTTCGCCACTAGAGCACACTAAAAAAGGCCAAAAGTACAAAAAATTAAAAACATTGCTAAATGCTGCCGTTTTACATTACGTTTCCATGGAAACAACACATGTTACGATAATTTTAACTATTTATTCATGATAACAAACTGAAACACACTTAAAAATACCCCCGCCGCAGCAAACCTGCAGACTAAGCGAATTTCCATTTCCCTGATTGGATTTACACTAAAATGTCTCCTTAGAAATATCACATTTATTCCCTATTTAAATAAAAGTTTAACGAGTACTTAGGTTTGCTGCAACAGGGAGGGTAAAAAGGTGTTTTTTGTAAAATGTAATAATTTAGTATAAAATGAATGCATTTTCCAAATTTGATCAAAATATGTTCATAAACAAGCAAACTACAACAGTTTACTTAGTCTCCATAAGAATAACATGGGCATTTTAAATTTACTGATTTTTGGAATTTTCTCCGTAACCATTAGGCGCATAACAACGCTCTAATATACTAAATTATTTGTTTTTTTAAGCTCTACAAAATGGTATAGAAAGAAATTGCTAAATTTTAAGTTTATAGTTCATCTTGGGCCCATAAAAAAAAATTGATGGAATGCCAACCTTCAACCCGAAGAGAGTGAATTACATGATCCTACCAACCAACCAATTCATGAGATTATTAACATTATAAAAAGAAAGATTGTCTCCATTTTCCACAATTTAATCCTAAAAGACGGGTATTTCTTTCAGGTGGAGTTTTGTGGTCAGAAGACACTCTAGTTAGTTTATTACCTAGTGAATTTCCCCTATAGGGAATGAGCTATTATCGTAGTACTCATGGTACGACCTGGACCCGGGACCGATTTACTTTATCGTTTTGAGGCCCCTAGAGACCAAAAACACCATCCGTTCAAATTCATATATGTGTCCGTTAGGGCGAGAACGCGAGCAAAAATCATCCGATTTTGATGAAAATTGGGACAAACGTGTAAACCTACGTCTATTCGAACGAGTTCGCGAACCAGCATGATCGGACTATGGGAACAGGGATTTAAGGGGGGTTTTATGGGGTAAAAATAGGTTTTTCCCATTTTTGACCCTAAAAACACAAAAGTTTACAATTTCTTTCCAAACCATTTTGTGGAGCTTATATATTGAAGCGTTATTATGTGCCTAATGGTTACGGAGAAAATTCTAAAAATCAGTAAATTTAAAATGCCCATGTTATTCTTATGGAGACTAAGTAAACTGTTGTAGTTTGCTTGTTTATGAACATATTTTGATCAAATTTGGAAAATGCATTAATTTCATACAAAATTATTACATTTTACAAAAAAAATCTTTTTACCCTCCCTGTTGCAGCAAACCTAAGTACTCGTTAAACTTTTATTTAAATAGGGAATAAATGTGATATTTCTAAGGAGACATTTTAGTGTAAATCCAATCAGGGAAATGAAAATTCGCTTAGTCTGCAGGTTTGCTGCGGCGGGGGTATTTTTAAGTGTGTTTCAGTTTGTTATCATGAATAAATAGTTAAAATTATCGTAACATGAGTTGTTTCCATGGAAACGTAATAAAAAACGGCAGCATTTAGCAGTGTTTTTAATTTATTGCACTTCTGGCCTTTTTAGTGTGCTCTAGTGACGAAACGGTTCGTCGTAGAAACAAACATTATGTAGGAAACTTGTAGTAAATTTTGTCATCTATAATTTTACAAAGCAGAATTTTCTCAAAAACCCATACTTACAGAGATTTGCCCGAAAAACTAAAAAAAGTGCCCAAATTTTAAGGTTTTCACAAAATAACCAATGTTCTGGGCAAAATATCTGTCAGCAAACCTCATATTCGTGTTCAGCGACCCAAAAAACATAAAGAAAAGTGATGATTAGGACTGTACCTAAACTTTCCGCTAACTGTCACTTATATTCCTAATATGCCTAGCCTATACAAGCAATTTTTAAATTGTCTTTTAATTGTCATTTAATCAACTAAGTATTCCAAAAAATTAAAAACAATATGGATGATGTAACATCAATAAACAACCCGATCACCCATAATTAACCTACACATTACTTTCTTAATCCAACCTAACTTCAAAACACTTATTAATGCAACCACGAACCTACACAAACCCCGACCTGCCTTCCCCACATGCCTAAATAAGATCATTCATTGTTTCAGTTTTAACGGAAGTAGATCTGTATTATAGGTACCGGTACTTCACTTCTTGTTCCTAGGTGTGCGATGTGCTCCGCACCTTAAGAAAGTATACCGTATATTTTTGCAATTTTGGCGATTTCCGTGCCTTTAAAACATAATTTAAAGGTATTATTTTATGGTTTAACCCATTGGAGACTTGGTTTTGTGTTCAATAGCATAGCCTTTAGAATCCATTAAAAAATGGCTAATTTGCAGTGTTTCAGTAAAAAATTCATAAAAAATTTACTTTTTAACTTAAATAGATAAAAGTTGTATGTAAATTAATTAAAATTAAATTTCCTATTGTAATAAATATGTTTCAAGTAAAAAAATAACAATAATTTTTTTTATCTTTTAAAATGAAAAAAAAAATAAAAAAATTATATATATTTTTCAAAAGCAATGTCAAAGAATTTATTATAAATATTTTTTTTAACTATTTCATGCTTTTATTTCCTTACTTTATTTAATTCCCTACATAAAATTTTTTTATTTGTAATTATATCTACAATAGTCTATGTTTTACAGCTATTTATGTAAAACACTGTCTACCCTCTCATCACCACTAGGCCTACGCCGCCCGATTCGCCGTCACTTTCACTTTAATTTTCCCACTAAAGGCTGTCAATCTCACTCGAGAATATGCGATCAAATTAGTTTGTTGGCTTCCATTTATAAAACATAATAATAAACCCGTAACTAAGTTATAATGACTTATCACCACTGAAAGTACGAACACAAACAAACACAAAGGTCTGAAAATCAAGAATGTAAACAATCACGTCACATCTGATGCACCATATTGTCAACCATACAAATGAAAATAACATCCCTTGTCAGTTTCTAATATTACAGAGAGAGTAAGAAAACAATTTTATTGTAAAACTGTAGACTTAAAACGAATAAAACAAATCAGCTGTTACGTAATGACAACTTTCAATGACGTAATATTTTTACACTTTTTGTTACTTGTTTTCTACTTATTACTTTTAGTTTATTCTTAAATAATCATTTTTTATTTAAACTATAACTCTTGAGAAACATTTCAATACATAAAACTTAGTAACTACGCAACAATTAATTAAAAAATCAATAATAATGCTATGTCGTCATCACGAGATAGTCTCGTGATGAGGCTTTTGGGCCAACATAACCCATCACGAGACAGTCTCGTGCAAAGTCTCCAATGGGTTAAGAGGATCGTAGGAATGGTGTATGAAGGTTTTGAAAAGTTAGAAGATAGGCTAAGTTCAGAAATAAGTTACTAAATTAAATTTCAAATAATATGAAGATTGGCTTGGTCCTATTACAGTTTCAGCTGTGTACTGTCCTCCAAGGCATGTTATAACTTACAATCAATTTGAACAGTATTTCAACACTCTTGGTAATAGATTTATTGCAGGGGGTGATTTTAATGCAAAGCATCAAGAATGGGGGTCACGTTTGGCTACACCCAGAGGCAGACAGCTTTTAAGATTAATGAATGACAATCAGTTCACCCATTTTTCAACTGGTGAACCTACCTACTGGCCCACTGATATGCGAAAAATCCCTGATCTGTTAGACTTTTTTATTTCAAAAGGTATTAACCAAAATTACACTGAAGTAAAATCTTGTCTTGACCTATCTTCTGACCATTCACCAGTTATGTTAAATTTAAGTACCGAAATATTTCACAAAGAACCAGGGGACGTATTTTTCAATAAATACACGGACTGGAATCAATTTTGAAATTTTATAAATCACAACTTAAATTTACACATACAGCTACGTAGTCCTGAAAATGTAGAAGCTGCTGTTGATCACTTTGTTGACTGTATTCAAAATTCTGCCAAAGAATCCACACCTCTACCTAATCATGAAAAATCAGAGAAAATAGGCCTAGGCTACCCAATTCATATCAAGAAAAAGATAGCAGAAAAGAGACGACTCAGAAGAATTTGGCAAAACTCAAGAAACCCAAATGATAAGACCAACTTTAACCGAGCAGCACGGAATTTGAAAAGATTACTGTACGACACAAAAAACCGATGGTTTGAAGAGTATACTCAATCTTTGTCGGCTACGGAAGCTACGGATTACTCGTTATGGAAAGTAACAAAAAGGCTGAAGCAACCCCAAATTTCAATCCCGCCAATTCGTAAACCGGATGGAAGCTGGGCTAAGAGTGACATAGAAAAATCTGAAGCTTTCGGGGATTACTTTTCCAATGTATTCAAGCCAAATGTAGGTGTGGTCAATAATGAAGAAGAAATAATAGAATTCTTGGACTCTCCACTTCAACTTGACTTTCCTCTGGAAAAATTCAGACCTACAGAAATTAAGGCAACCATTGACAAATCGCTAAATCCGAAAAAATCTCCTGGTTACGATTCTATCACTGGGAAAATGTTAAAAGAACTGCCAAGGAAAGGAATGATTTTTATTGCATTTCTCTTTAATTCTATATTGAGACTAGACCACATACCAACTCAATTTAAGAAAGCCCAATTAATTGTTATACCAAAACCAGGAAAACCTCCTCATGAAATCACTTCCTACAGACCTATAAGTCTCTTGCCTATAGTGTCCAAGTTGTTTGAGAAATTGTTCCTCAAAAGACTACAAGCTCTTTTTGAAGAAGACGACGTCATTCCAGGACACCAATTCGGGTTTAGACGGAGACATGGCACCGTGGAGCAGGTCCATAGGGTTGTTCATACAATTCGAAACTGTTTGGAAAACAAACAATTTTGTTCTGCTGCTTTCCTTGATGTCAGTCAGGCATTTGACAAAGTATGGCACTCTGGCTTACTATTCAAAATTAAGAAGTTACTACCCCATTCAGTTTTTCCTATTTTAAAATCATATCTTACCAACAGAACTTTCCAAATTAAACATCAAAATTACTTAACTGACCTTTACCCTATAGAATCAGGAATCCCCCAAGGAAGCGTGCTTGGACCATACTTGTATATTCTCTATACATCGGACCTACCAGAAAGTGTAAACACTATGGTTGCTACATTTGCGGATGACACGGCGATTTTATCTGTCCACGACAATCCAGCTCAAGCTACAGCAAATTTACAGCTAAACTTGGATGAAATTTCTCATTGGTTTAAAACATGGAGGTTCAAAATTAATGAAAATAAATCAGCACACATTACTTTTACCTTAAATCAGGCTATTGGAAGGCACATATCTGGACTAAAAGGCAACAACTAAATTTAAAAACAACTAAACTTAATTGGCTTCTTGGATCTAAATCAAAACTCAGTACACAAAATAAATTGTTGCTGTACAAAACAGTTTTAAAACCAATTTGGACTTATGGTATTCAGCTTTGGGGATCAGCAAGTACCTCAAACATTGAAATTATTCAACGTTACCAATCAAAATTGTTACGTAAAATTGTCAACGCTCCTTGGTTTGTTACCAACAGAACACTTCACAATGATCTTCAAATTCGAACAGTAAAAGAAGAAATTACAAAATATAGTGAAAAATACATTATAAAATTGGAAAATCATTCAATTCATCTTGCACTTAATTTATTGGACAATCACAACACCATTTACAGACTGAAGCGACATACGATATTGGACCTACCATTCAGATTCGGCTAAGTGTTATCAAAATTCTCTTTGTTTGCTAGTGTTGACGGTGGTCAATCACTAGCTCATGTTCTTCAAGTTATTTTTGTATTACTATTTACATCATTTGCTTATTGTTCAACTTGAACAGATTGTAAATTAAATAAAGTTAAAAAAAAAAAAAAAAATTTGCAATAAAAATTAAGGAAAGCATCAGACGTTTTGGTAATATTACAGTTAGATTTTTTAAGTGTCAACAAATGTAACTACTAGCTCGGTGTCATTTACTCATCTATTACTGTACTTGCATTGAACTTGAGAACAACATGTAGGCCTAGCCTGTGACCTAAGTTTTCAATGGGCTTCAAATCAATTCAGGATGAGTTTTAGTAAGTTAGGTCCAACTAATGATCTCTTCTCCTAAAAATAATTAGGCCTAAGTTAATAAACGCAAAAACTCACCAAAACAAGAGCTGCTCTTGGAGGAAATTTCCTTTTCACAGCTCTGACAGTGGCTGAAGCAGCTAACCTTCCAACTGTAGAAGCCATATTGTTTCTTCAGCTGAAAATGTCAAAACTTTCTTTGATTACGTATTAACTCTTGTCAATTGGCCAAGTATTAGGGCCTATTATATCAAATTTCACTTTTTAAGCTCAAACTTTTAACATTTTAATTTTAACCTCAACATTTTAAGGTGACGATGGTTGATCAATACAAGCATCATAGCAGAAGCTAGATAGATAGAAAGTACCCTAGGTTAAGCATTCTACCTAGTTTAGGTTATTTTATACCTATCATATGCCTCGTAGTCGTAATCTGCTGATTTCTCTGTTAGTTTTATAGTTTAGTTGTCATTTTTTTAGCAGGCAACGCTGCTTTTTTCCGAACTTGGCTGTCTGTGGTCTGTTCAAGCTTAAATCATCTGTTTTACTTTACTGTTTAACAGCTGATTTCTCCCTCCCCGAATCAATGCTTCTTGCCGAAAACACCCGAAGAGAAACTTCGGCTGAAATGACGTCAGGTTCGTGGGTTATCGTAACAGGTCTAGCAGTTATTATGCTCCCAGAATTCCTCAATAGTACATGTCCGCCATAAGTGTTGGGTGGCTGTATGTCGGTTGGGGAGCTGTTACCTTCGAGACCAATTACGGCCTCATGCAGCAATCTCCTCCAGAGATTAAGGAAAAGTTACTGAAGGCACTCGACAGGGAATACAATGTAAGGTTTGATAATGCTTATAAATCACACGGTTACAGGTTTTTAGGAATGAAATTGTGACTACGTAGAAACACTCGTGAGTGGCGTGTACGTGTTGTTTAAGGTGTTATATTTAGTGTTTAAACAACAAATATATGCCATTATTTGACCTAAAATCCCTACAAAAGTTACCTGCAATATCATGAGAGTAGTTGGTAATCAAGTTTTTCATCACCCAAACGGAGAAGTGTTAAAATTTGTGTATTTAAGGCTATTGTACGGAGCTGTAGAAAGTGCTGCCTACCCTTGGCCCACCTCGCAGCCTCTCATACGCGGCACTGCGCTTGCGCACTGGTCTTTGCAACAGTTCCGGTCGGGAGTCGACCCATGATACTTATATTGCCAAATTTTGTATTTTACATTTACTCCTCACCTAGCCTCCTTAACTCTTCATAATGATTAAAAATTTGCTCATAGTAATTTATTTTATTTAGATTATTTTCCTACTGGTTGTATTATAGTTATACCTAGCCAAATATTCTAATGAGAAATAGGCTTAGGCCTCGACTAATCTGTCCATAAACTTATAAATTGTAGCTAACATAAATCACCCGTATCCAACAGAACCACATAAGTTTAATTAAAGATATCTACTTAACTTAAGTTAATCAGAAATGCCTTACTTAACTTATAAGCTGGACTAGGCTATCCATATTTTTAACGAGAATTTAGGGCCCTAATTAATTGCCTAATAATGTGAACTTCAAGACAAATGTAGGCCTTGGCCTAGCCTAAATTACCTGTGCTTTTATTTATTCTGACTTTTTTATTTGACAAGGTTAAGTTACTGATAGGGCCTATGGTCTAAACCAGGTAAACTTAAGTTTAAAATGGTACCTAAAGTCCCTTTCCGCAAGTCTTCCGTAATAGTCCCACGCGGACCTAAGTTAACTTAAGTTACATTACTTAATAATAATCTTAAAAAGTTAGCAAAAAAATCCTAATTTTTAAGGATTTTTAGACACTAAGAAGTTTGTTGTAGTGCGTTAAACATGATCAAAAATAAAGTTAGTGAAGTAAGTTAACTTAACCTAAGCCCTAGACCCACTTAACTCATGTGTATAAGAAAATAAATCACAGGTTTCAGTTCTTAGGCTAGGCCTGCGTAACTTACTTACAGTTCACTTAGCTTAACTTAGGCCTATACTTTTTCGCAATGAAATATTGAGTTTTCATTTTGGGCTAATTAAAGCTTATTTTACGTCTAACTTAAAAATTGTAATAGATTTACTTAATGTAAGTTACTTAGGCTACTTATGTAGCCTATTGTCTGAGTTAAGATATTAAGTTAACTTACGCCTGCTGCATTTTCATAGGAGATTTCAAGTTTATTGAGCAGTGTACGTAAGTTAGGGCCTACGCTATTAAAGCAAACGGTCCAAACCCATAACTCAAGTTGTGTTTTGTGGATGTGGCCAAAATCAAACCTGTAAGTTACTTCTCACTGAAGTTCGAGGCGCCAAGTTAACCTTAAAAGCAACATATGTTTATGAAGTTAGAAGGGTCCTGTAACCCTCCAAGTGTCCATGGTAATGTTCTTAATGTCCGCCCATTTATTGCGCAATCGCAGGGTTTTATTAAGATGTATCTTAGAAACTTAAAAACACTCTAAAGTATACTGTTTTATATATAATTTTGTTTGAAAAACTATGGGCTTTAATGTAATATATAAAACATTACAAAAAATCAACAATTTTTGTGGGGTTAAAATTTCTCAAAAATCATAAAAGAAATTAAAAAAATGTATGTTTGTGCTCAATAAATTTATACAGTCCACTCTTGGTAATTCAAACACTTGATAATTCAAAACTTTCGATAATTCAAAATGCAGGCTCAGTCCCTAGAGAATCTCTCAATATTTCAAATTTTTACCATGCATTTTGATACACTCGGTATTTCAAAGTCCAAATAGAGGGAAGGTCAATTTGTAACACGCAGTAATTCGAAGTTTAGACGGCAAAACACTCTATAATTCGAAGTGATCTCTTCCTGTTATAACAGGAAACTATACAGTACAGTACATCCTGTTCCCATGGTAGGCTATTTGATGGACGTTTTGATGTTTGTTTAGTTAGAGCAGTAGTCTGAGTTAGTTCGCTGACTTGTTTTTCTAAGTTGGCAATCCGATCTCTAGATTGTGCGACATCTCCTTGAGCACAAACGTAGTTGTCGACAGCTGACAGTTCAGCTATTGGCGAAATATATAGCGCTAAAAACAGATTTATTTGCAACTACAGTAACTGAAAAATAAGCCGTTGATTGTTTAAAAGTGTAATAAAATACGGTGTATGATGTTTTATTGTAACGTGCTGTACCTTTGTATGTATTAAACAAATGAACTCTCTGTAATTCGAATGGTTTATTTTTCTCCCGATAAATCGAACTCTTGATAATTCAAAATTCTTGATAATTCAAATTTATATGCTTGGCCCACCAATTTCGAATTATCAAGAGTCTACTGTAATAATTTTAGGTCTACAAATATTTCAAAATAGCCACTTTGTTCTATATTTTAGGAGGATTCCAAAAATATAATAGGCTAATACAATAAGTAGATTTGCAAATAAATAAGTTATGGGTGAAAAACAGATTTCGTACATTTAGCGATAGCTAAGAATGCATAGCCTAACCATAGCTAGGAATCTGGCAGATCATTTACATCAATATCACTACATACTTCTTTAGGAGCATAAACCAGCCCTTCAAAATCACTTAACACGTTCACTGCGGGCGTATCCGAACGGATACGGGCCAAGCGCTGTCCAGGTGAGGCCGTAACCGATCGGATACGCTCGGCAATGCCTTTCGTATATCATCGTTTTTGCTCTAGCGTCGGTCGAAGTCAGACCTATTCCACGTTAGCGAGTAGTGGGTGATTTGCTTTTTGTTGTGTTGTAGGTTGGTGGTAAAATTTTCCCATAAAATCCCCGTCTGGCAAACTTAAAAATCAACTTGTTGTCCCGTCTTTCTCCCTCCAATTGGCAATACGATGGGACCGGCTACGTTCCAAGCAGTGCTGCTATCTGTGAGTGTTTAGCAAACTACGTCGACTCTTGTTATAAAACAGGACATCACCGCACGTTATTTGCGATTCGTCATACCGAAATATGAGAGCCAATCACCCGGCAATCGGGTTTGTTCGACGCTGCGGGCTGCGCCGCACTGGGGTTACGCCTGCCATTTGATGGCCCGCAGCGAACGTGTTAAATGTTCTTATAATGCACCACGTATATCACTACTTTTTATTTTTAACACTAAAACAATGATAAACGTAATAAAACACATCGGTCATTGGTGTGAGGTTAACCAAGTTGTTTACAAATACGCACGCCATCTGTCTGCTACAATATTTTCGTAACTAAAATGAAAAGAGTCTAGAAACAGACATCAGGAGAAAGCTTAGAATCTGCCGAAAACAACGATAGCCTACCAATCTCGATCCAGTTCAATCTGATTCAGTCAGTCCCAGAGCCTTCGCCGTAAACGATGTTTGTGTGTCGCTTAAGCGACGCATAACACCACGGTGGGTGTGTTGTGCGTCGATTACGCGACGCTTAACACTCGGAGGGTACTTTCCTGTTAAAGGGAACATTCATTATTATCGATACAGTATTTTTGTTTACCGATCCATTACATATTGACAACTGATCTTGTTTAGGCTAAAATAGTCTATTACCTAGATATGGATTAAGAAATGAAACTGTTCTAAGCTAACCTAACATAAACAACCAAACTCGCTGTACTATTTAAAAATTACTTTTGATAACAGAAAAGGCAAGTTGAACATGGAATGTTACACAGCAAGTTTGGTTAGTTAGGCCTATGTTAGGTTATTTCTTTAGAACAGTTTGATTTCATTATTGTTTGTTGATACTGAACAATATTTATCGTAGTTGTCAGCTGATATGTTTCAATTTGTTAATATCGATATATTGAGAAAAAAATCATCGATAATAATGAATGTTCCCTTTAACAGGAAAGTACCAGTTTATGATATGAAAGTAGCCTAAGTTAGGCTAGGCCAACTTACATTTAACTTTAATCATCATTACATTTTTCACTCTTGTAAAATTAAAGACCATTAATTTAATTTAAGTAAGTTAGGCCTAACTTTTTTTTGATCAGGGCTTAAGTTAAATAGGCACTAAGTTTAAAGGACACTAAGTTAGGCTAACATAGGCTACTAAAGTTTTAGCCTCCCAGTAAATCCCAAGTAAACAAAATGAAGTACAGTAGACTCCCTCTTATCCGGATACCTTTTAGCCGGACATCGGTTTAACCGGACTACACTCGGCGTAAATGGCATCTCTTTAACCGGACAATTTTTATCAGCACATTGGTTTAACTGGACTAGATCGGCAGGAAGTGGGTGCTACTGAAACGACTATTCTCGTGGGAAAGATTTGAGACCAGTGATCACAAGTCTAAACACAATGCTCTTTTAAATTTAAGTCGAATATCACAGTTAACGGTTGTAACAAGTTTTTGGGGACATCATTTTAACCAGAAAAACCGTTATCCGGACTG